CCTAATTCAATGTCATTTTGACTATGCAAGCAGTATATGCAGTATAGCAGTACAGCAGTCTCACAAAGCACACAAGGGCTAGTGCTGCAAGCTGCAAGTGTGTCAAAATAAAGCCATTAGATGTGTTCTCAACCTAGGTACTAGAGCACACATAGGTGGTAGAGAGTTCAAGGCTGTAAATTGGGTACCTGTAGAGTTCAGGGTAATGCAACTGAAGGTCAATAGGGTTTTTAAAACATTACATAATCTCGGCCCACAGTATATGACAGAAGGTTTCATGTTAACGTCAGAAGCCCATAGTTTCAATACAAGGGAAGGTGAGATGTTTATTTTTAAACCGAGGGTGGGAAGCAGTGGGAAAAACTCTTTTACTTATACTGCAATTGAAGCTTGGAACTCTCTACCATAGCAAGTGAGGACAAATTCTGTTTATTCTAGTTTTTTTTTAAGTATAGTGTTAAGAAATGTCTGATGCAAAAGGTAGAAACATTAGAGGCAGAGGAGTATGATTTTCGCTAAAAGAATTCGGTTGAAATTAGGCATAGGAAAAGTTTGTATCGCCTTATGAGAATGTACCATTGTATGACTGGTTAAAACTACAAATTTGTATATTTCAATAGTTAGTGCTGATAGTAGTGTAATTGTTAGAGTCAAGGCATAGCAAAACAAGGACCACAATGTAAATAAGTGTGCTATTCATGCTTTTTGTGTATATATATCCTTGGTAGTTATCCAATTTTATGAATTCAGAATTTTATTGTAAAAGTATGCTATGTATTGTATTATGATGGGTAATTGCCTAAATAAATAAAAACGCAGTGGCTAGTGGCTACGCATCCGGAACCGGTCGCCTAGCCTCCAGGGTACGCGTCCGGACATCCACTCACACATTGATCGCACGACTCGCGTATACGCATGATTGCGCAACGGGACGCTCTGCTGCCATCTATCCTTTCATCCGTCCTCTTTCGCGCTCTCTCTCGCTCACACACACATGCACAGCTCTCTCTCGTTCTCTCTCGCGCTCGCTCTCTCTCACACACCTCTCCGAGGCTCTCTCTCTCTCACACACACCTCTCTGAGGCTCTCTCTCTCTCTCTCTCACACACACCTCTCCGAGGCTCTCTCTCTCACACACACACCTCTCTGAGGCTCTCTCTCCCTCTCTCTCTCACTCATACACACACACGCACGCACGCACGCACGCACGCACGCACGCACGC